AGTAGCTGGGACTGCAAGCACCCGGCCACCATGCCCAGGCAAATTTTCTGTATTTTTAGTAGGAAAGGGGTTTCACCGTGTTAACCAGGATGGTCTCCATCTCCTGACCTCATGATCCACCTGCCTCGACCTCCCAAAGTGCTGGGATTACAGGCGTCCTGAGCCACTGCGCCTGGCCCTCATTTTTTAATACAAGGAAATGAAGCCAGTCTCAATGGTTCATGCATGTAATCCCAGCACTTTGGGAGGCTGAGGTGGGAGAATTGCTTGAGGCTAGGAGTTCGAGACCAGCCTGGGCAATATAGTGATACCCTCTATAAATTTTGTTTGTTTGTTTGTTTGAGACGGAATCTTCCTCTGTTGCCCAGGCTGGAGTACAGTGGCACGATCTCAGCTCACTGCAACCTCTGCCTCCCGGGTTCAAGTGATTCTCTTGCCTCAGCCTCCCTAGTAGCTGGGATCCCAGGCATGTACCACCAGGCTTGGCTAATTTTTATATTTTTAGTAGAGACAGCGTTTCACCATGTTGGCCAGGCTAGTCTTGAACTTCTGACCTCAGGTGATCCACCTGCCTCAGCCTCCCAACGTACTGGGATTACAGGCATGAGCCACTGAGCCTGGGCCTACAAAAACGTTTTTGTTTTGTTTTTTTGAGAGGGAGTCTCGTTCTGCTGCCCAGGCTAGAGTGCAATGGCACAATCTAGGCTCACTGCAACCTCCGCCTCCCAGGTTCAAGCAATTATCCTGTCTCAGCCTCCCGAGTAGCTGAAACTACAGGTGCCTGCCACCACACCTGGCTAATTTTTGTATTTTTAGTAGAGACAGGGTTTCACCAGATTGGTCAGGCTGGTCTCGAACTCCTGACCTCAGGTGATCCATCCACCTCGGCCTCCCAAGGTACTGGGATTACAGGCATGAGCCACTGTGCCTGGCCTACACATTTTGTTTTTTTTTTTTTAATTAGCCGGGCTTGGTGGCATGCACTTGTGGTCCCAGCTACTCGGGAGGCTGAGGTGGGAGGATCACTTAAGCCTGGAAGATTGAGGCTGCAGTGAGCCATGATCACTCCACTGTGCCCCAGCCTGGGTGATATTGCAAGATTCTGTCTCAAAAAACAAACAAACAAACAAAAAACAGTTTTAAAATTTCAAAATCTCACCAATACAGTGGTAGTCACTCAATACTTCTTTTTAATGAAAATGAATTTGTTACGTTTTGTAACACAAAAAAATTCATCTTCGGTATTTTTGCTGGTTATGTGGCATCCTATTTTTATGGATATAGCATAAGATATTTAACCAAGCTTCTTTTCTTGGCTGTTTAGGTTGTTTTGTGTTCTTTGTTTTTAATCACGAGCACTGCTCCAATAAACATTGTGAATTTAAGTATAATTTAAGTATACCCTGTTTCTTCAGGACCTGTGGAGCACGTCTTATGGCAGGGGTTCTCAAATGTAGCCCAGGCCAGACATGCCTGGAGTGCTCATGAAGCTATAGATTCCTAAGCCCCATCCCCAGACTTTAGGCCAAGGGTGGGGCCTGAGAATTTGCATTTCCAACAAAGGCAGCTGGTAGTGCTGACACTGCTGATTTGGGAATCACACTTTGTGAGCCGCCATTCTCTATTATACCTGCTTTTGAGAACCTAATATCACATTTCCTTAGTTTCCTTTCTCACACACTTTTGCAATTGGTTTTGTACTCTATGGAGGGAGCAATTTTTTTGAGGTCTCATATTCTTTCCCCATTCATGAGTCTAAGCACTTTTCGCAGCACACCTTTCCAAGAGTTTTGGCCCTGACTCTAATATTCCAATATACACGCAAATAGGCATACACACTGGTTTTCAAAATTAGTTATCTTTTTCCTGCATTGCCCTTCCAGAAACCTCAGCTAATAACAAAGTGAAGATAAACAAAAGCTCCTTTTCCTAGACACTGACATTTTATGTCTCATAGTCTCACCATACCTGGCCTGCCTCA